CGGCAAACACTTTATTAACAAAATTTCATGTTTCTTTTTTTGTCTAAAGACCTACAGCCGTATGCAAAATCCTCTTCACAGAGTCCTCTTTTAACTTTGAAAGTGACTTTGAAGGCTGTCACTTTCAAAAATTTGTATTTAGCAAGCAAAATAACGCGTGCGCTCGACTTTGAATGAGGGTTGCCATCATTTCCGGCCATCGAAATCGAGGCCACCCTATATATTATTTGAGAAGACATATTAAAGAATATAATATATTCTTTGGTAGATATTATCTACCAATTTTCAGCTATTGCAACGATAACATTGTTCCTTCGGAAAAAGAGGGGTAGTTTAAGCCCAACCATCAAAGGGTTGCGGCCATGAGAATCGGGGCCATCCATCCATTTAGTTTAAAGGTAACTATGACCTATTCTTTTATGTGAAAATTATCCATTGCAACGATCACATACCCGTTAATATTGCCGGCTCTCCTACTAGCATTAGATACCTAAATTTTTAGGAACACTTTCAAGCCTTTCCAAGGGAGTACCTATATGCTAGCTAGCTGGTGCTATAAAACAATGAGTAGACGGATACATTTGCATCAGAACTCGACTCTCTTCTCCAAAGGTCCAATTCATTGAAATTTGGCAAATATTCCTTTGATGCGCGACATTGGGTAGACTTGCTCTTTTGTTATCTGCACAGAGGGTTAGATGAACTTTTGGAAGTGGGCCGGGAAATTTCAGTCTAGGGGCCCATACATTGATGGATTTATTGGGCAAATCCCCACTCTAAGATGTGATCTAATAATATGATAACAACAGTGCGATGATAACACAATGAATCCTGAATGAAAACGCAGAATAAAAAATTAAAAAATAAATCTTATATTTGGTTTAGTTATTTTAAACAATCAAAATGATAATATTTTCTTTTTAATGGGGGGCTTAGGTTAAACATTTCCATGAGAATCTTCTCAAAAGTTAGCAATCCTAAGATGTCCTTATTTAAGATCACCTTCACCAACGCATCCAAATTCTCCATTGTTAGTGGTCTAAGTGGATTCCTTAATCGATTTTTATGTCTTCACAAGTGTTGAAAAGCATTTTTCCTACGACCACATAAGAAAATGACAAAATCCGCACTAGTTGGTGCTTTGGAAAGCGCTAAATACTTAGATCATGCGAAATATCACACGCGTGCCGAAAGTAGTTTCAATACGCGCGCTGAAAGTACTTTCACTAGTTTCAGCACACGTGTGGAAAATACTGTTGGTTGACATTATTTGTGATTGAAATTGACAATTTACTTTCAATACGTGTGTTGAAAGAACTTTCAGTACATGTGTTGAAAATGAAAAGAAATAAAATAAGAGAAAATTGGTGTAAATAGGTTTCTGATCGTAGGAAAAATGGTGTACATCACAGAGAAAGCGTCTTTCATACACTCGTGTGATTTTCGCACTCAGCTACCGCCTCGCGCGAAAAAAGAACTCGTGTGGAATTTGTCACTTTCTACTCTACACTCGTAATGTAATACACTATTTCGCACCCTACCTGACGTGAATACGCTAAAATAAGGACATACTGGTGAAGGCCTTAAAGATGACTGCAAGCACAGATGTATAATCCTAAGGTATAATCTGTATTTATACGAAACATTGAAACAGCAAACCAAACAGGTTTGCAAAGTGAATGTGATGAACTCTTTCTTTAGAAAGTTCTAATTCATTCCCCTGTGTCATTAACTTTATCTTCATCTCCATCGTTGGATCCAGAGAGGTCATACAACTGCCTCCTTTTCGAGTCAGGCCATTTTCTTCCAATATTCTTTAATTCCTCCCGCAAAACAGCTGGCATCTTCTTTTTTTTTGTGAGAACGAGTTGCGGGTAATGGGTCTTGAAGTATTACATCACTTTGATTTGCTTCCAGTCCTGTATTTGCCCAATTGTCAAACATTCTTAGCACTTCATAATTTTTTCATGTTGCGCTAATCCTGTTTCAATGCGTCACAAGTTGAATTGACCATTCTTTGTGCTTTCATAATATTGATGCCGTCCGTTTGACCTCAGACTTTGGTGTGAAAAATGAAAGGTATCTTGATAATTTTGTTGTTCTAAAGATCGGCCCTCACCCTCACTCCGATCGGCCCACCGGCGATTTCCCGGTATCCTGGTGGCAGTGGCGGTTCGCCCATATGGGCAAGGTGGGCACCGCCACTCTGAAAAAAGAATGGAAAAATAAAAAATGCTTTTAATTGAAGTGGATGGCGTCGTGGGAGAAGGTTTTGGTGATAGTTTTGGCAACTTTGCTGTATTTGAAAAATCCACGACCTTGGAAATCTTTGAAAAAATCGCCTACGGCTGTTTTTTATTTTTGTCGCCCACCCTTACTTGGACACCACGAGCCGCCACTGCCTGGTGGGTTCATCCAACCCTCGAACCCTGTCTGCACAGATACGAATTTAGGCGCCTTCAAAATCGGCACCATTTCGATTGGAGTTAACAATAACTATTTCATGCTGCACTATCATGGCGACTGGTTGATCCTCCACAGACTTTTATTAAAGACAAGGTTTCAAGAAAACATGCTTAGTACTTACTTAGCATTATCTTTCAAGGTTGAACAAACTTAATGCTTAATGTCGCACTTAGATAAGTGAGTCAAATGTTTCAGAAAAAAAAAAACGTCGTCATATTTGTTTATCTAGGTAGGTACTTTCTTTTCTTCATCATCAACACGAAAGGTGGCTCTTGCATGTATTTGAACTAGTATAAGGAAGGAAACAACTTGTATTCCATGCACAATTCAATTTATTGAAATTTAGGCTTTCGCCATCATCAGTAGGTAGGTATTATTAAGCTGTGGGTGTTTTGTCTTTTTACAGTTTTAACTTCTGTATTTCAACCTCGACAAGTATACTTGTCGAGGTTGAAATACAGAAGTTAAAACTGTAAAAAGACAATGACGACGAGGATAATAGTATATTGTTTATTAAGAGCAGTAAAAGTGATACTTTTTGTGACGAGACTGTGTTTGACGGCCGAATGTAGTGGTGAGGCCGACAATTTTAGATTAGCCACAAATAGTATATTGTGTATTTAGGTGGAAAAGTGACACATTCGAGGCCGGCAATCACCGAAAGCCGAGAATGCGCTTTTCCACCGAAATACACATACTATTTTTTCTGCGATCGGTTAAATATCTGTTAAATGTTTTTCTTTTTGTTCCAATTGTTCAGCAGTACGAGAATCACTTTCCCGGTCTAGGCCGGAAAAGTGATTCCCGTATTGTTATTCATTGATTCCTCAGCAACTATTGGAGCATAATAATTGAAATACCAGAATATTGGGTCTTGCGACCTGTCAACCGGTCAAAAATGCTGATATTTCTTGTCAAACGCAGAAAAAAGTGCTTTTCTCCGAATAAAACATGCGATTTTTTCCGCAAATGGGTGTTCAAACGATGGAATCAAGAAAATAAATATTGTAAGAAAGGATTACATGTAGAAAAACGTAAAATTAGATTGTTGTGCTTACACTGCTTACTGGTTTTGTGGTTATCAAGGTTGAATTTCTGTGACGTCACTTTTTTGTCCAGTCGTGAGCGTACAAAAAGTACACTTTTTTATACGCTCACGTCACAGCCGGACAAAAAAGTAACAAAAAATGACGTCTGTGAAATCAAACTTCGACTTTAAGGTTAAAAAAGTAGTAATTTTTTGACGTTTGGGGGAAAAAAAAAACATGACGAAACGATGAGAATTACAGATCTGCATAGCATAATAGGATAAACGGTCACAATAGAATATAAACTTATGAAAGACAATCTAAAAATATTTCTCTTGATGAGGAAAAAAGAACATCACACAACAGACGTCATCAGCGCCAGAGTGTCAAGATTTCCAATAGAAATTTATTATTTTACCAGAGAAGATGAGCTCTCTCGTCTCGTATCGAGGGAGTCTCGTCGATACGAGAGAATCATTTTCTCCCGAATGTTCGAGACAAGACAAGAGAGACCATGTTCTCATCACGTCTCGCTTCGCGGAATCGCTAATTCTGTTGGCAAAAATGAAATGCAGTTGTAATTTTTCAACACAGTACCATGTTTTAATTGATAATTATGCGAAATAGAGTTTCCTAAAAAGTGCGGAAGTGATAGATACACGAAAGCAGTTGTACAAGTGTAAAACTGAGAAAAACAAAAGCACCTACTACCGTGTACTAGTACAGAGTAGCAGTGCGGAAAAAAGTTAGTTTTTGGTATTTTGTGCACGGTCGTAAAAAAATATCTTTCCAAAATGTATACGAGTCAAGATATTTCATTTACGAACCATAAACAGAAAAAAATCTATCAGTAAAATTTTTGTCCACTCGCACATCTTCATTGTCCCCAAAATCTGTAGTTTTATTCAAAGAGAATATCAAGTTCCTGACCTTGCATCAACCACCATGAGAATGCCCACAAACAGGCAAACCAGGACACCATTCGATTTTGTGATCAGATGTGTGTGGTTGCGTATATAGCTTTGGTTACCTTTTGGTTTCGTATAACTTGGTTTGGTTGAAGTTGAAACATGCCGAAGTAGGTAATAAGAGGCATATACTTTTACTTTCACTGAATAATAGCGTCACTTCTCAAAGATCGTCCTTGATGTTACTGAAAAACTATAATAAAAAGCAAATCGGATTTTTTACTAAGACAAACCCTGACACAAAAGTCAGTATATTATAGGTATACCTAAACTTCCAATGCCACAAAATTTTCGAAGCAGCATAAGGAATTTTTTTGAACCGTCGCCACGTTGTCAATAAGTGAAGACCAGTTTTGATCATAATAACAAAGTCTAAGGTGGTCTAAAATAGGTACCTAGTCTACTTTACTTACCGAATAAAGATATCTGAGGAAATGTGAAAAAATATAATAAATAAATGTTTTAAATGCAAGAATATAAATAATATATAAAATCACATTACAATTAGAGAAACAAATCTCACATCAAGCTACGGCACAAAATTACAAAATAGTAGCAGTAGGTATAACCAAAGTTTATGCAACAAAAATATTAAATTTATTTAAATAAAAATAAATTATTATTTAATTCGGTTAAATCACAATAATCACATTTATTTAATTTACTTGTTGATATAAATTAAGCAGCCATTACAACATAAAGTACTTATTAAAAAATACTGACAAATGTACCTATAGGTGAGAACTGCGAGAAGTAATTTTGACTACCTAGGTAGTTAGTTCTTTTCACAATTATCTAACTTTTCTTTGAAAATATTATTCTGCTTCAGCAATTTAATAACTTCAGCTTCCAAATCAAACAGATGATCGTCCTTTGCCCCTGGTACAACTTCTCTCATGATTTTGGCCAAATTACAAACATAGTCGATATTCGGTCCACTGGGCCCTATCGATTTTACCACTTGCCTAGCGATATCATCAAGGTCCGCATGACCTGCATAATTCGGGTTATCATGCGAAGCCAGATAGATGGTCATATCAAAAGGTTTTATTGATTCGTCATTTGGATAAAATCTTACCGATTTTCTTTCGTAACCGCCCTTTTCTCGATAATCTAAGTGTGCAATAACAGTCTCCACATCACAGTCGTTTATTCTATAAGCTATTCCATAAACCTTTGAATCTTCTTGTGCTGGAATAAGCGTCACTACTCTACCAGGATACTCTGGAGTGCCCCTATGGTCCGTGCTGTGCTGATAAAATCTTCTTTCGTAGCCTTTGATGTAGCCAATCACTTTTTCCACGTAAGGGAAATCCACTTTCCACATTAAGGAACCGTAGCCGAACACCCACATTTTGAAACTCGGCGAAAATATGTCAGCTTTGTTGTAAAGGCGATTTATTTATACGCGGCATGTGTAAATACTGAATAAACGAAAATGGAGAAACAATGTCGGCGTCAGCTGGCAAGGCAAATGACTCGAGTTTTTTAAATTTATCTATTTACACACGTGGTGTGTAGAACGCTAGACGCATGAACATCGCCTTTTAAAAACCGGTTAATGATGCCTGACTAGAGGAAAGGTAAAAGAATTCTAGGTCGTAGGTGATTATCAATAATGACAAGTGGTGCAGGTAGAATTTTTCAATTAAAAACAAATAAACAATAGTTTACTGTTTCGAGTTTTAACGACTGCAATCCAGTAATTTCGATAGTCGCAGATCAGTTTTACTTACCATCGATAAAAATAGGCAAGTATTTGTTTATCGAGATCAAACAATGAACTTTGGTAGGTATATTTAGGTATGACTTGCACTTTGCACGAATAAAATTAATGGACATAAAGTGAATTTCCTAATGGACCATCGCAAAACCAATAATGAAAAAAAAAAAAAAAAATAATGCTCACCTTTTTACTTTAGCATTAATCATTTTGATTTTAGCAGGTACATGCCAATTTCTTGTTCAATCATTTGATAAATAAGTAGGAAGTTTTAACTTACCTAGGTATCAGTTTTTTTATGTGGGTAAAAATACAAAGATTCTTTTTATAATATAAACTTTTTTACTTTTATTACTTAGGTACTTATCTTTAAAAAAAAACTTTCCTTAAATTAATTACAACCCTCTCGCAAATTACAATTTCTCAAACACCTCGTACTCGTAGGTATAAAAATAAACCAAATATTAATGGATTTCTTAGAAAACTAGCGTCTTAATAAGTTTGAAACGGGAAAAACGATGTGAAATTTCGTATTTCTCAAATATACTTACGGAATAGATTTCACACACACTAAAATCCAACATACTGAATAGTAGATATATTCAATATGGTAAATACACGAGATAGTAAATAGCCAAAATCGAGCAAGTTAATCAGGTGGCGCGGAAAGAAGGAAAGCCGTATCTGGAGGAATAAACCAGACACAAGAAAATCCTGGAAGGGCTACATAATAAATTCGAGAATGTCAATGGGAGAAGTACGTGAACAAGTTGGGAGTGTTTTTCAGGAAGTTGGAACAGTTAATTAGGAAGTTTGATTGGTTTGCCCGGAAGCAACAAGAGAAATACGAGAACAATTAGCGGTCGAAAATATCATCAAGGGAATAATTAGAGATACAGCTACACATATAATCTTAATCATAGCCAAAACATCAATGCAGCAGCGAAACTTTTGATCAAAGCCCCAGAAATTGCAGCGGCTGATTAAACATCCGACTCAAGGAACAGAGCTGTGTCAAAGTGTCAATATTCATGAGAAGAGGAAGAACCAATAGGAGAAATTACTAACTACTAGAGTCTCGATGGAAGAACTTTTGGAAAAAATAAGTGGGCATCGAATGTTACCACTGCGGAAGAAGTGTGACTGTAGAGTACGGCTTAGATTTCGCTCTCATTCTGCAGCTTCTGGCGATTCTCATTTTTTCGAAGTTTCAACAGAACGATTTTGAAATTTAGAAAAATTTCTGGTAAACTAGGTAAACTGTATAAAAACGCATATAACTGCATCAGAATCGATCAGCATGAAAGAGTCCATGTTAGAAGCCTCTTCGACTTGAAACGGATCAAGAACGGCTTAGAAGTAATCAATTAGAAGGTAGCGACCTTAAATCATCTTCGAACCAAAAGAAAATCGGAGAAAAGAAAAATCTGGCAAGCGGAGAGAGAAACACTAGAAGGCAGAAACAGGAAGATTTGTTTGTGCTACGACTGGTGATCCAATATTATTCTTCAAACAGACGCTCTACAGATTTTATCGATGAGGAAAACTATTATCTGAGTACTCCAACAATCCGCGCATGGCAGTCAACAAGTTTCTGTGACGTTAGTCCATGGGAAGAAGAATCGTGCAGACGTGGGAATGAACAAAGATAATGACGAAACAGAGATCCAGAGGACGTTTATATTACAGGCATAGCTTCAAGGACTCTGAAGACACAGGCTTAGGGAGATGCAGAATGAGAATGATGTTTGGTCACATAGGGACGATCTAAATTTAGGAGGCACAGCCCGAGCACGAATATGCAGGAATTTCATCTTGTAGCAAGCATTTTCGTATGTAATGGAATATATTTCTCGATTGAACTAGTATTTGTTTACGAAGTTCATAGTTTATTAGTCAACAGCCAGTAAGTTTAAGAGAATTGTATAAAGTTAAGTAAAATCGATAACTAATTGTCGCGAATTTTGATTTTGTAAAGTAATTCACTCATTCTAAATTTTTCTGTGTTCAGATCGTGTTATTCAACTTCCTCTCGAATTCCATTATCAAGCCTTGAGAGGACGAAAATTCACATCTTCGAAACATTCGAAAAGAAAACGTTTCACATAAAGTCTTTATTTTCCTTATCATGAGAGTCTTGTAAAACAATAGTTATTAGAACTCAGTACGACCACAAGTGTTCATGTACAAGCTGTCTCCGTTGCTGTTAGAATCCATGCCGATTCGATTATTAGGACCTTTAGAAGGAATTTCATCGTACAATGGTTCTAGAATTGCAGCAAATTTTTGACTAGAGTTATATTGGGATAACGTATCAACTTCCGACGACGCTCTATAGCTGCCTGTGGATGGAGGATGGTCGTAGAGGTACTGCTTATCTAAAAAAAACGGTGAATTATATACAATCCTGTGCAATTTGTTTTCAAACCTTACCTAATCTTGGTGGCTTAACTGGCTTCTGGAAAACGACACTAAACTCTTGTATTTCTATGCTGTCATTTTTTTCGAGAATGCAATTATTTCCATTGTCGCTTGTAGCTAAGTAGGTAGGATTGTCGAATGTAGGTGCAGGAGGATCTACAAATTGAAATGTTTTTCATAAAACTAGACTGACTAAGTCATCATTTACTGATGTAAAAAAACTTTTCATATAAACTTCTACCGATTTGAAAAGTGGGCTGTGGGGTAATGAATAAGAAACAGACTGGACTTTTCATATTTATTGGAAATGCCATTTATATATGTATAAATTTCCAAGACCATTTTCCTATCAAAATTGGGCCTTTATAGTCACACGCATCTTTTGAAATCCCTCGCGGAACAATCGTCGGTCTCATGACATATAAGGCCCTATCTCGTTTTTCACAAGTTTTCAGGAGAGCATAATTAAGAGAAAACTAATATCTTTACGCCAACCGAATACAAAGAAGTAAGTATACCGATTCGTGGTCCTTTTTATTATGAACAACAAACCATGTAAGTTTTTTGTCAAATACCACATTTCAAAATAGTAATTTACATTTTTGTGTCTCAAGATTCGCCTTTATGCTGTAATAAAACTGTTCATATTTCAAGATAGTTAATGAATTGAACTGATTTCAAGATAAGACCCTTGGCTAAAAACAAGCTACATTGCTGAATGCAACATATCTATGAACCTAACTCATTTTGGCCCTATCTCGAGATAGGGCCTTATGTCATGAGACCGACAAAATGTTAAATAGCATCGTCGTACTCGTAGGGACTGTGGAACATGCGATGAAATTAGTTAAAAGTCAGGTGAGTAGCTAAATTTTGATATTCTGATATGCCTATCCGAAAGATGTGTAATATAAATTTTCTTAATTTATATTATTTTTGATAAGCACTAGAAATTTACAAAATTAGAAATTCTTTGCTGCTTCAGCTGTTAATGAGAAAAATTTCCCAACAGTATTCCCCCGTTAACACAAACAAACGCCTTGGAAAAGTCACCAAAGCTACCCAACCTAATGTTGTGTCAGAAACTCTTTATTTTCGAGTGGCTTTCTTGGAACTTTTTTTTTTACCATCAGTGTTTGAGACGCTTTTGATATTCTCATCAGAGTTCAAGAAACAGTGACAAATGTGTGCTAGTGTGCTGCATGCGATATCTTCGCAGGTTTGTGGATAGAAGTCTGGATATCCAATCCAAAGTTTTTATATTTTCCCTCGTTTACATCTTCAGACACTTGTTTTCCTGTTTGAAAATATTCTCGAATGAATTTACTGACCAACTATGATCTCAATACAATAAATAAATCATAATTAGGTAGGTATGTCGCATGTACTATTCTAGGAGATTTTTGAATAAAAATGTATGAACTTTAGCCTAAGATTTGCATACTAAACTATAAGTTTCTCACCAAAAATTTATGTTTAGTCTTTGTTTTAGTCTTGGAACAAAAGCTTCGCGCATTCACCAGAACATCCAGAATTACGTTCAATTTACCGTTGACTGCCGTCATAATTCCAATTTTTCGCTAAATATTTTCAACTGACTCCGTGGCGCAACGGTAGCGCGTCTGACTCCAGATCAGAAGGTTGCGTGTTCAAATCACGTCGGGGTCAAATATTTTTTTTTTGTTTCTTTTATTTTTTGTAGGTTCTGTGTTTTTCTGAGATGAGGAAATAGCATTTATGATTCCGGAAAAACGTTCCGTTCAATAAAAAACGCAAATTTTGCTCGCTAATGTGAAATTTTCCAACTTTCCGCTAAATGTTTTATATCTGATCTGGCACCTTCAAAATGTTCAAAAGGTAGCAATAAAGTTGCCGCCACTGTTCCCAACAATAGTCGCCCGGGTCGTACCAACGACTAAAAATACACTTGCGGCTACCGACTAAAATACACTCTAGTGGGGTGACATAGGTAAGGAAAGTTTCAGATCTGGCAACCCTTTCAAGGCTCAGATAGTATACAGTGAGGGGCAGGCTACTAGGTATATAGGATATAACTTGACGAATTTTCAGCCGTCCGCATGTGGCAAAATGACAAATATATTTAGTGCTAAAGGGTCATTTACATCCACTTAACTTGACGTACGGAAAATTAATAATAAAAAAAAGTTGAAGATCACATAGTTGTTATATCCACTTAAAAATTAAGAAAATTAACGTGACACACGGAAAAGTTGAACCAACTTAAGAAAATCCGTGCAATAAATAATAATTTCCATTTCTGGGCATATAATTTGACTTGACAGTTCAGGTTATAAGTGCGCATACGTCATGTAAGATAATTTACTTCATTGTTAACAGAGACCTTCTCAGTTTCGTACGTTAGTTATAATTTTCCGTACCTTAAGTTAAGTTAAGTGGATGTGAATGACCCTTAACTCATGACAACCAGGTAAAAACAAAGCGTGAAAAGACCTGTCACTCAAAAAACTAAGGCTAAAGACACAATGGCTGAGATACGTTTTCGGATACGAGACTAGGCCCGTAACTATGCGGACTACGAAACCACCGTATCTATTCTGCGCGTGCGCAGATCGATGCGGAGACGGATACATATAAAAATTCAGAATAAGCAAGTAGACACTTTAAGCAGGTCCTGAATTTCAGACGTATCTAACGCAGGATAGATAGTAAATACGGTGGTCTCGTTGCGTTGCGTTGTCCGTATCGTTACGGGCCTAGACTCGTATCTGTATCCGAAAACGTATCTCAATCATTTGACACTATTGAGGGATCTACCTGTCAGTTATTACTAAAATAACTTCAACAACATAAACACAGTATTTATAGATAAAAATAAAACCTACTAACACAGCTAAAAAATCAAAACAAAACTCTTTGTGGTTAAAAAACGTGTCATCCAAGGATACGATCGTTTACGTAATGTATGACCATGAAAGGACAAAGGACTTTTAGGCGGTCAACGTAGTCGACTACGCGTTTACAGAAGCGGACACGTAGGAAAATTTAGGGTTTGCTTAAAGTGTCTAGTGAAAACCAACGCTTAGCTATCTACACGCGTAAACTTAATTATAAATAAATAAAGCTTGACGAAATATCTGAAAGCATGGCGCAGACGCTACGTTTTGCACAACGTTTTGTCTGCATACAGTTAAACACGTTGCAGAAAAAACGTTTTGATCAGTAAGCTGAACCGTAGCGTCTGGACCGTGCTTAAGTCTATCGTACTGAAGTAAACAAACGTCAAAGTTGTTGAACGAACGACAGTGACAGGGGTTCAAACGGCTGCGGACGGTGGTAAATTCGTCAAGTTGGATCCTATATACCTAGTAGCCTGCCCCTTACTGTATATATGGGAAGACGAATCTAAAAAGCCCGGGACACAATTTTTTTTGGCCCTATAGCGGCGTTGATGACATAATCAATATGACTCCTAACTTTTCTGTGACACTTTCTTATGGTAACACCCTTCATTTTTAGAAATAGAAAAAAATGGACCTCCCACTCTGCGTTCAAATTTCATGAAATCTTGATTAGTGCAAACCGCATTTTGATATCTTCAACCGTTTAGCCGCTAGAGTGCGATTTACGATTTTGAGCAATATTGTGAAACCTCCATAACTTTTTTGTTTATGAGAATAATTCATTTCCGTAAAGACTTTCTAGAGGCATTTTTTTAAGCAGAATTCAGTGACGTTCTCAGTTTTTTTCTATTTGGCTCCGACTTCGAGATATTGACCAAAATTCGATTTTTTTCAATAGGACACCCTATATATTATTAGCTTATTGAAAAGATCTGCTTTTTCTAATTTCAATGATATAAAGCTCAATAGGTTTATCCCTAACAGTTTTCGAGAAAAAAAATATTTTGGTTTTTGTCATAAGAAACAATGTGTTAAAAAGAGAACTTTTTCAGTTTCCTTCCAGAGATAAAGTCCTTCTCCAACACATTGTTTCTTATGACAAAAACCCAAATATTTTTTTTCTCGAAAACCGTTAGGGATAAATCTATCGAACTTTATATCAATGAAATCAGTAAAAGCAGAGCTTCCTAATGAGCTATTAATATACAGGGTGGAATTTTTAAATGGAATAAATTTAGTATCAGAAAGCCTGTTTATTTTCTGGAAAAGTTTTTAAAAAAACGGGTCCCTTTATTTTCAGTTCAGCCACATTTTTTCAGCCATTTCATGGAATTTACCCCTTTCTTAAGGGTAGAAACCACCCCCAAGTTTTTTTTTTCAAATGTAAAGATATGTATGTATATGGGCATAAAAAAACGAATATGACCCATTATTTACTTTTGCATTTCGGTGATCTAGTTATTTGATTATTTTTGACAAAAACACACTATTTTAGGGTTGAGAATCCGAATATCAGGCATAAAATAGTGTGTTAACGTGAGAAATAATTACATAACGTGACAAATGGCGCTTGTTTCGCATTAGGGATCTACCAAGAAAAAATGCTGAAGATATTCAACAATTTTAACTGAAAAAAAAAATTGTTCGGAAAAATATGTTTTGAAAAAAAAAGTTGGGGGTGGTTTCTACCCTTAAGAGAGGGGTAAATTCCATGAAAAGGCCAAAAAAATGTGCCAAACTAAAAATAAAGAGACCCGTTTTTTTTTATTTTTCCAGAAATCAAACAGGCTTTCTGATACTGAATTTATTCCATTTAAAAATTCCACCCTGTATAGGGTGTCGTCCTATTGAGAAAAATTGGATTTTGGTACCAATATCTCGAAATTGAAGCCGAACAGAAAAAAACTGAGAACGTCACTGAATTCTGCTTAAAAAAGTGCTTTTAGAAAGTCTTTACGGAAATGAATTATGTTCATAAACAATAAAGTAATGGAGGTTTCACAGTATTGCTCAAAATCGAGAATCGCCCTCTAGCGGCTAAACAGTTGAAGATATCAAAATGCGGTTTGCACCAATCAAGTTTTCATGAAATTTGAGCCTCAGAGTGGGGGAGTCCATTTTTTTCTATCTCTAAAAATAAAGGGTGTTTCCATAAGAAAGTGTCCAATTTGGATACTTTTAATAGGAAACATCAATTTCTGAGCGAGATACAAAAAAATGATCCCCCACTCTGAGGCTCAAATTTCATGAAATTTTGATTGGTGCAAACCGCCT